AATTATTATCTCATTAATTTGTCCACATTGCTACAAAAATATTCTTTACATTTAATTGTTGAAAAAAGGAATTATTGTTGGGCGAAACGGCACCAACACTAGCAAGAATTTTGCTAAAACTTCCAAGATCAAAAAGACCGCCCCATTTAACCTCGGATGACTAAGTTTTTGCTCTTTTATCACAAATTTTGCCTCAGGTAGGCCTTGCAGAGGGTGGGAAACTCTTCAACCGGGCAGGTTTTCAGCCCGTCTGCTAGTTTATTCCAGAAACTCAGATATACCTTAAAAATAAAAATTAAAACTTTATAGTAATTATTCGTCAAAATTCTAGTTTTTCTCCCCCTTACCTCTTAAAACGCTGGCTGACCACTACTTTTTAACACTTGGATAAAACTTTACACTCGGGGAACGCAAATATAGGGGCCGACGATTCTGCGAAAATATAAATAAATAATTCACCGGCCAAAACTGTGTTCAATTTTACAATGACAAAACATCTTTTGCTATAAAAATGACGCTTTTGTAGTGCCTGTGGCGTGTTTAATCGAATTTAATCGCGGGAAAGGGACGTAACTCGGTCACGTAAAAGATGGGGCGGCGAGCAAGATGGTCTGTCACATTTAATCAGCGCGGCGGGCGTGCAAAAAAGAGTGAGTGTGTCGTTCCATAAATAAAATGGCTTAAATTGCAAACTTTTGCACTTGATTGTGCACAAGTCTGTGCCACTTACCGCAACTCGGACTCTGTCTCTTCTTGTTGGTGCGCAAACGACAGCCAAGATTACTCTCTGTGTGTCACGTGACACTTAAGCGGCGTCCCGCGGGAGCTCGGCCTGAAATATATATCACAGAGGCTAAACGCTACTTTATTGCGGGAATAATCCACCCAACACCTGCACCATTAAAAAGACTTACACAGATATTTAGTTATATTTATGGCCGGTGATTGATTTTTTCGGCTGCAATTAAACAAAATGGCCGCCCCTGCACTAATTGCGAATTTGTTTCCCATTTGCTTTGCAATTCGGATTTTGTTTGGACCAGCAAGCCGAGAGGGAGAGGCTTTGTCGCCGAAATTTATTGCGTTTAATTGTCGGGCGGGCGAATACCAACGGGGACGATTTTGCCAAGGCCGTTATTGAATTCCATATATCGGCAGGCGCAGGGGTTAGCAGGAGAAATCATTATTTACGGTCGAGGCTTCGCTTGTTAGCAGGCCCGTAATTATCTTAACGTGCAACAAACACACACACGCACTTTGTGCTGCAAAACATTAATACAATAATAATCCACTCGAGCCCGGCAAACTTTCAAGTGCCCTTGTGTGCTCAACCCCTGGCTGATACCAAGAAATCGAACACGCATGTGACCGAAACGTGCAACATTCATACAACATTTCACTGCAACTTTTGTGTCAGTAGATTTTACGAATGAAAAATTTAGAGTCATTCAAAATTAAAAACCTTTTAAAATTTGGCAAATTATCAAGTTTTTGGGCTAAAACTGTGTAATCTCTATAAATAATATCCTTCAAAATTTGTAACTTATGAGAACGGGCGTTTTAGCAGACCTCTGCTAGTTGTGATACCCTTTCTGCTCATTTTTCCAATTTCAATTTTTTTTTATGACTTGAGTAGAATAAATAATAATAATAACAATTAATTGAACATAATAATTAAGATAAAATTTCCGTATCAAGATTCTTGAGATATTCTTAGTTTTGAAACGATATGCTACATCTGAAAAATTTAGAAATAATTGGAAGACAAGCAGTTTGTAGATCTTATATAGCGAAGCCGGAGGCTGCAGAGCGCTTGGCAGATGCCGGTGGTGGTGTAGAGATAAGGCACGTTCAAATTAATATCGCATTAATGACTCTTCATTTTTAATGACTTTTCCCGCTCGCGTTCGCCTGCTCGCTCGCTCGCTCATTAAAAGTTTTAATCGTCGTTATGGTTGATGCACACACACAACTGTTTACCCTTGTGCGGCGATTAATTGATCTTGATATTGCGAGAGACGATTTGTTTGCCCTCGATCGGCACCTTCGGACCTGCAAAAATGCGAATATTAATAGAGTGAATGTTGCATAGGACGTTTGAGTAAATATTCCAAGTTTTCCAATTAAACTTTGGCTGGCTTGATTTAATAGAAAGAAAACAGAAGCAAGTGTCTGGGTTTCAAATGCGAAACTTCATTCATGGCTCGCCGCGTGCAGATTAGCCTAAATTTGCATGGCAAGGTAAACACTTTCCAACTTGCAGAGTTAATTAAGTTCCAGAGCTATCCCTTTGTGTGCGTTTGAGACCGATTGGTTTTTATTACATTTTTGAATTCGGCGTTGGCCAAATAAACCGTGTTGGACTAATGACGGCGGTGTTTGTCTTTGGCCGAAAGTTTCGATCTGGCCGCATCCTATCCGCCGCGTGTGATTTGATTTGGAAAGTGGCTTTCGGGGGCAATTAAAAAGTTTTTGTGTCGACCTTAAGCGCGGTAGCAGGCCTGCTGGTAAGACTTCTCAAGACACACTTTGGTGTTTGCTGTGCTTTGCTAATCTCTGTTATTTCGGCGCGGCAAAGCGCATTTGAATTTTATAAAGTTTGCAACCGGCTTTGCGATTGTTGTTGTTTCGAGTTTGTGTCTCCGAGAGCGGTTGCTGACCGCACGCTTAGTTTGCTCGGGCAAAGACGACGGATTAGATCGGTCGGTTGAATCGACGCATTAGCCATTCGTGGCCTAGCCCGTCGCGATAACTGCGAGAAAAAACTACGCACCCAGATTTACGCAAATCCGTTTGCAAAACCTGAGTTCAAACTTTCAAAATCAAGCTCATTCCAGCAGACTGTTGGCAGGGTTGTCCGATCCTACCTGAAAGACTGTGCGAAGAGTGCCAAAGGTTTTAAAAAAAAGAACATTCAGTACAACCTTTGGATTATTATTTTTTTTTGTGGTTTATCGAGATTTATTTATAAATTTTTCTTTTAATTTTTAAATCAGTTTTAGATTGATGAAAATATTTTTGGAAAGGTTTGGAATTGTCTTTTTGCCCTCCAAATTTATGAAACTAGGCACAAAAACTAGGGTCAATGGTCACAATCATTTTAAGATCTGAGGTTAGTAGGCCTTTAAATTTATAATGCGCTACAAATTTTTTGAATATATAAAATAAGTATTTTATTAAGTGAGAAATTGTTTGCAATAAAAAATTAAATATAAAATGTTTAATACTAAAAAGTTTGATTGGTTGAAAAAAGAAAAAAGAAGGATTTTTTAATGAAAAATAACAAAACATAATTTCACACAATGTCAAGTGACCTAAAAAAAAAATTAAAAAGTTTCTAAACACATACACACGATTACAATAGCAAGTATCGAGATAAACGTTTTGAAATTAGTGTGAAATAAATTATGAACGACACTATTTCAAAAGCAATAAAAAATACTTTGTCGTCGTGAATTGATTAAAGCGGTCAATGTTTTCGTGTGCCGCAATATTATTATTCACCGCTGTTAACGCGGCAGTCCTGAAAATGAGCTTTTCGCAATTATTTTTACTTTGTTGGGCGCGGCGCCGCGGGAATTTATTGCCGACCGCAGTGCACAATTTATGAAATAGCGACTTTTTGATGTGAGAGAGAACAAACCACAGAGCGGCCTCGAAACCGATGGAGTTTTTGGCGAAAAAAGCTCTAGGAATTCCAATTTTGAGGATGATCAAGTGGTTTGCTTTTTCCGTTTATTCTCTCTCACCGGCGAGGGAAAAACGAGAGCGAGCGAGGGCGGCGGAGATGGAATCGCGGGAGTGGGAGCAAAATAAACGCTTCCTTAATCTTATTTTATATTTCTTTTACGGCATGTTTTTATCTTGATTATACAAACACACCATTTTTCTCTTTCGCCTCCGCCTCTATCTTTTTCTCTCCTACGCCAACCTTTCCTTACACATATATATTTATTAATCCGCACCAACTTTACAGTTCACTGGAGAGATTCGCGCCCTTTTTATATTCTCCGCTCCGCCCTTTGTTTTTATTTGTTTCTTTAAATTTGGCCTCGTCGCTCTCTCTCTCTCTCTTTCTCTCTCTGGTGCGCGATATTTCACACTCTCTTTTCGCCCCCCGGATTTATTTTATTTGGCGCCGTTCGCAAGAAAAGAAGTCCTTTCAGCCCTTTCGCACCTTTCGCACGCGGCAATTGATTTTAAATAAGTGCGAACCGGGATCGGGATTTGCCGAGGCAATATTTCAATTTACACCTGCGAGTGAGCGAGCGAGCGAAAGAGGCTTTTCAGAGGCGCGTATTAGCCCAAAGTTCTTTCGCTGAGTGCTCCGATCGGACGAGACGCGAATGCTGATCCACATACAAATCAAACTTTTCTTCAAACTCGGGCGAAAATTGTTTTCGATCGCTACTCCGACCGACCAACCGACGCGTCTCCCACCTTCCTTCCTTCCGCCCGCACCAAACTTTCTTAATTACGATTAATCGCGCTTTCTTGCTCTCCCGCCAACAACCGAAGAGCCAAGTGGAGAAACAAAATTAACACTTTTGTTGCAATGCTCCAGTTTGTGTCTTCACACACGCTAGGTTTCCTAAAACTTTAAAATAAAAATTAGTTTCGGAAAGACTTAATCTTTGCGAAACATTTCTATGTAATTGTGAAAGTGTAATTATTAGTTGTGTGTTATTTTACTCTCGAGTGCTCTTGAAATTCAAATATATCCGTCTGGCTGCGAGAGCAGGATTCATCTCCAGACCGTGCATCCATGCATGCACAGTGTCGGTTGCAAGTTCCAACTTAATAGGGTCGTAGATGGGAAGTGCACGTCGATTACCCCACTTACTTGCTCATCTTACCATAATCGCTAGCAGACGAGGTCTTCAACCGACGCAATAATGCATTCAATTTATTCAAGGCCTCGTGATAAACCTTTGCCGACCTCAACGCTTTCAATAATTGTCCAATTAGATTAATATCTATTCTCTTCTCCTTTGTTTCAGATGGTGACGCGAACCAAGAAAATATTTGTAGGCGGCCTGTCAGCCCCGACGACGTTAGAAGACGTTAAAAATTACTTTGAGCAGTTTGGGCCGGTGAGTACAAATGTATCTATCTTTCGCCGCACAACTCGTATTAATTTTAAACAAAAACGATGACAGCTACTATTTCTTGGCGCCGGCGGAAAATGCTGCTGCAGCGAATGTTACAAATGCAGCCAGCAAAGCGGAAAACGTTGCTCGCTCGGCGCCATATAAGAATACCTACCTACCTACCCTGTCAGTACTCGCAAGACAAATATCTTTCTACCGCAGCTTTCAGCTTCAAACGGACGCCCGAGGCTATCGCCGTTTAATAATTTTTACGTAAGGGCGATTTTTGTGCCGAGTAATCAAACTTTTTGCGATATTCTGAAATTATTAATGGGAAATACCTGAGCTCCAACCTGCCGCGAGCGTTTCAAAGCAAAGTTTCCTGGAATTTTGTTTGATGAGAAAAAAAACGAATCCTTTTATTATGGCGCGTTTCATGAATGAAAATTTATATTCCTTTTTTCATTCTATTAAAACCATATAATATTAAATAATTTAATGGAAAATGTCTAGAATTTATTAACTTTTTATTTATCTTTTTCACTCAAATTATTGTTGTCTATTTTTTACCCGATTCATTTTTTGCTGAGCAAACGCAGAACCTTCCGAAACATTCTCAATATTGCATGGATCACTTGTTTTGCTCATTCCTGTGCAGCCAATCGAGTGGCACGTATAGTCCAGGGATCAAATTTTGGTGCGTGTAGGTTGGATGGATGCTGCAAATCCTAGAAACGCCACAAGGGTGGACTTCGGGCTTTGTCGCTGGCAGTGGAGAGCGATTGCTGCTGCTTTGCCGGCGGGGTCGTGATTTGTGCGCCGCCTCATTAATAATTGGACCACTTAGTGTGGCGAGCGGTCCGAATTAATCATTGATCGGCACCGAGTCTTGCAACTCGAATGGAATATTTGATGGGGCCATTCATTTGGAAGAAAGTCAGTCAGTCACGGGCGACAGCAACAAAAGGCAAAAGACGTCGCCGGCGGCCAAACAAATGGCACAATGTCCCATTTATCGCAGCCCCCTATTCACCCGCGCGATTCATCGAAACCTCTCGGCGTTTGTTTCGGGCAAACACGGCGCGCGCGGTTTCCGAACCGAAAGCGAGACGAGCGCGAATCCACCGCCGCCGACGCACGCAATAAATTCCCTCATCCCTTTGTGCCGAAGCCGCTGTTTGCACTGCCATTATGTTTTGATGTAATCTCTCTCTCTCGCTCTATCCCGACCGCTTTTATTTATATTCATGAGAAACAAATAGACGCGTGGTACGCGGCGCCCTGGTACAAATGCCTACGGCCCCGTCAGCCTAGCTCTGCACGCACCCACATTTTGGCCTTTCCAGGTGTCAGCGTTTGACTCCGATCAAACCAAATTTAATTAGCTTAAAGGAAAGGATTTTAAAATTTTCAAAAATATGTAAATAAAAAAAATTTAGATACTTTTTTGTTGATTAAAATTTGTTTTTGGACAAATATTGAGGAAGTTATTGGTTTCATAAATTTTTTAGCGATAGCCATTATGACTTATAACTTTGGAAGCTAAAAATGCTTTATTAGTTTTTTTTTTTTAGAAAAATTGTCTAATACTGTTGAAAACTATACAAAAATCTCCGCCTGTAAAGGTTTCTGATAAAATAATCAGACCATTTAAATTTTCAGCAGACTCGTCTGAAATAAGAAATTTTCATCTGTTATCCTTCATGATTGAAGCATTTATTTCAAATTAGGTGCCAAAGTAATTACTCAAGATAAACAAGAGGCCTCGTCTCGCTCTTTTACGACTTGGGCAAAGTTCGTCATCTGCATGCAGCTCTGGCAAACTCTGGTGGACCGAAAGGGCGGTGCATCGCTGATTTGCATAAAACGCCCGCAGTCCCTTCAACTTGCTCATAAAAGTGGCGGCGTGACTCGATTGTTTTTGTCGCTGGCAAACTAACTTTGACATCAGTCTAATGAAGGGCGAAGAAAAAGAGAGAGGAAAAAACTGCGGAAAACTAACGCGAGAAGAATTCGTCGACTTGACGGCTTCTCCCCTCCGCCGAAACTTTCAATATCCCCCGCTTTGAATGTGACAATTCAGATCTGCTCATGTGCGAATAATAAATTAAAACTCCCGTCGCTGCTGCTGTGGAAATATAATACGCGCCCGCGGACCCTCTATTCCATCTGAATAATGGAGCCGTGCCGCCATCGATCAAAAAATTATGCCCATTTAAACGTGTCTTTTCCACGAATGAAAAATTCCAGCTGCGGAAAAATGGCCCCACATTTCAACTGTCCAACCAGCAATAAAGGAAAAAAATATGTATATAAATAAACGGGGCCCTTTTTATTAAACGATTTTTACAATAATGTTTGGAAAATAAAATATGAATAGAGAGTTTCGTGTTTCCGGAGTGCATCAATCACGGCGGAAAATAGCGATTTGCATGTGTGGTGTACCGGAGATGACGAGATTGAGCACGTGGGGGTGGTTGTCGGAGGGGGTGGTTGGGGATAAATCTGGGTCGATGCGCGTTCGATAAGGTGCAAAGTGCAGTGCGGCACTGACGAAAACGAATCGGATGATGCGAAGGGGTTGATAGCGTGGTCAGCCGGTGGGGCGGGATAAAAAGAGGGCCATTTTTCAAGCGGTAATTCCAGACCCGGAGGCCTCGACCCACCCTCCACCTCCCACCCACCCACCCACCCGCCGTCTTATCGTCCGAGTGACAAATGATTGGTATGGGTCATTGCGTGCCACGCTGCTCCACCGCCGCGTGCAGTTTGCTCTGACCGCACTCGGCTATTTATAAGAGCCAAGGTGCGCCCTCGCAGACCATCCCTCTCTCCACCCGCAGACGAACCCAACGGCCCACCCGAGGCCCACCGACGTCTCTTTTATTATGAATTAATGCCACACGTTCGCCCACGATTTCATTTTATCGCCGCGCACAAAATGTAAAAATCGTCCCGAATACCCATAAATTTCTCATTAAATGGGGTTTGAACCTGCAGGAACAATTCCATTATATTTTTTCCACTGAGGTTAGTCGTAAAACAGAAGGATTTTCCATCATTAATTCAAGTTAAAGGCCCTAGAAACCTACAGCACTTTGAAATTTAAGGTTTAAGTTTGTGGTAAAACTCTGCTTACGTTAAAGATTTTCCAATCCAAAATAAAATACAGTAATAGAATATATATTTAAAAATTAAAGAGTTCTCCAATTTCCACAAATAAAATGCCAACAACTATTTATAAAATTCGACCTACACGCCATAAATAATTTTAAATAAAATTATATGCTTCATAATTCCTAGAATAAAAACAAACAAACTAGTTTTTCAACAAAAAATATTAAAGGTGGTGCCGTGTTTTCCATTTTTTTTTTTTTATTTTTAATAAATTGCGTTTAACAATTGAATGCAAGTAATGTATTGTAACAATGTGGACAGTTAAATAACAATGATAATTTTCTTGTCGCTTTTTATGATAATTAATTTAAATGTGTCAATTTAATTTTAAAATATTTTTATAGAACTGGTTAAAATCCAAAATCCTTAATCAAATAGCTCTCATGATCGCAAAATATTTTAAATATTACAATTCTGATTTTCCAAATATTGTCAGACTCTTTTTCTCTTTTAATCTTCCACTTTTTTTAATATGTATAAAAAAACTAACTGCATCAAAGCTTTGCAATTAATTAAGCAATACAAAAGCCGTCTGATTGAAACAATAGGTGTCTGTGTGCAGGCAGGACACACTTCTTGCAGTATTACTCCCGTCGAATCGGCGGCGTGTGTGTGTGTGTGTGTCTGTATAATAACACGGGAGAATTCGAGCAGCAGCATTAATGAGAGAGCGCCCGCGGCTCTGGATGAAAGCCAAAAGCGAGGGCGGAAGGAAGGAAGGGATGCACGATATTGCACCTAGCGCACTGAAATTTGGCCGCTGACAAATTTATGTGTGTCACACGGCGTCCTTAGGGTCGCTCGTTCCTTCTCCTTAATTCCTTGCCGAGGGTTGGCAGAGCGGAGGGTGCTGGAATTTCAAAGTGCTGCCGTTTAAGACGGAATTTAGCGCCGCCGCCGCCACGTGCAGCGAAACGAACGTTGGCCCAGGAATTCCACGTCAAAGTGGCTCATCGCGCAGCCCCCGTCAAGTGCGCGCTATTAATTGGATTAATCTTTCCTATGCACCGCCGAAACTAGTTACGCAAGTTGGCAAACACACAAATCCCGCTCTTACCCCAAAATGCAAATCGAAACCAAAATCCCCTGCTAATTATAAATAATAATCAATGCAGATTTAAAAAGGGATTAGAATTTTAATCATTCATTAACATAGTATCTGGATGGATTTATGCAAAATGATTTCATTTTTCAACAGTTAAAAAAATCTGACGGATTAAATATTGAACAGTTTCCTTATTTTATCCCAGCGCTAATCCCTTGCAAATGGAAAGCTTTGAACATTTTTATACTAATTATAAAAAAAAATTTAAAAACAGCTGGAATCGTTACAAAAATAGTTACTTTATAATCTAACCAAAAAAAGTAAATATCTAATCTTTTGATAAGTTTATTCCTGCTGAAAAGAAAAGCGACTTTCAGTCTCTCAAAAAGGAAGTATTTAGAAAAGTATATTATATAAGAAATCGCAATTTGCGGAGTTTGCTGCACTTTGGCGTCTTGGGAAAAAGGAGTGTGTGTTTGAATGGAATGGAGACGACGTGTCCCCGAAGAGTGTAATAATAAAGGATTAGAGGAGCGAGGAGCGACGAGTAGTGAGCAGTGCGACCGACCGACCGACCGGTGTGAGTATTGATCGGCGGAGGCGGCGGCGGGGCGGCCGCGTGCGTGGGAGGAGGGCCGGACGAAATCTCCTTGCACTCGAGGGGCCCGAGCGCGCGCGACACGCACAGGTGCTTTCTTTCTTTGCTTCTTTATTTGCCGGCAGGGAACCGCACCGGCTGCTCCCGCGATTAAAAATTCAACCCCCCAGACCACCCACCTTGCCGACTGTCACT